AGATTCAAGATCTTAAATCAAGAGAATTTTCAAACATGTAAGGCCTAGGTATTCTAATAACTTAACAGTGCAACAAGAGATATGTCAACTAAAAAACAGTTTCACGCACTACATATCACAAAAGATAATATACTGCAAATTTATCAAATGAACAAATTTCAAATACGTAATAATAAAGAGCAAGTTATTCCTAATTTCTAGCACGGGCAATGGTTACCCCCACACAGTAACTCCAATCCTACTGCCACCCCACACGATAACGCACTAGTGCTAAAATTTAAACATGATTCGCCAATTTACCAAAGCGAACCTGTCTGAATTTGTAAATTTCGAGAGATGCGTATTTACTGTTTTATGGCTGCAATTTATGGCCTAAAGTAATTTAATAAATGTTTTGCAGTTACGACAGTCAAACCCACCAAGGGCAGAATCGTCCAATTTTCTCTACGAAGTCTGAAACACTAAACAATAATATCATTACGTTCAGGAAATTTAAAAAAAAAAATTGCCTGAAGAGAACTCGTCGGAATCAGCCTTCACGCGCTGCCTATGCGGAGCCGCCGAAGCTCACGTGCACCACTCCTGGGTGTGCCTCAGCATGCAGAGTATGGATGTGGTCTCAGATTTTTTGGCAGGTGAATAGTTTGGCCGGAATTGAAGAAAATAGTTTCGGATTTTTGGTGAACTCATGAGCCAGCCTTCCTCCCCATTGAATTTTATTGGGATTCACACCATCCCAGTGCTCTAACACCAGATGTAGAGAAATGGACTCCAAGTTGCACCAAGAAATCGGGCTCAGTATTGATCAATCATCACCACAAATCCGAAAACCCAATCACAAACCTACACAAAACCCACTCGATCGGTTGCTCAAAAATCTGCCCATAAACAAGGACTAAGAATGGAGGATATAATAGCCACGGAAATCAGCCACCAAGGCTGAAAAAAAAGAAGAAATAATAGCACTACAGAGAGCACGAAGCAAGAAAGCAGAGAGCACAAAGCAAAGCCAAAGCCGCCACTTTTCTCCTCAAACAAAAGGCTAATTAATTTCACTCATCAAGCATAGTAATGGAAACGGTAAATATAAGGGAAATTAGGTATGGGCTTTAGGTTACAAAGATTAGGGCCCAATAGGAAATATGTTGGTGGGCTATCAAACCGAAAAAGCCATCCAGGTCTAGGGTTGGGCCATGAGCAGCACTAATTAAATTAGGCTGCTTCAGATGGCCCAAGTGGATTATATGATTGGTTTACCAAATTGTGGTGTCGATATACGTTCAATCATTTGGTCGATACCGACTGAAATACACAATACTTACATCATTGCTCATGGAGGTCGTTTGACAACAATTTGTCTAACAAGTTGTGATTACAGTTTTACCTTGGTGAGCCAGAGAACATGAAGGATTGTCAAAGAATTGTGGAGATTTCAGAATTTTGTAGAGATTCTCTAACTTTTCATTTGTGAGAGGAGACACTTCCGAGTTAATGGACTGTACTTGAGAATCTTCAGCTGTCGTACGGAAGGCTTTACCATCAGATTTCAGATGTGGATGCAGCTTCCAACAAGTCTCCCTCGTATGCCACAGCCTCCTACAATGATCACGCTGTGGCTTCTTCCCCTTTTACCATCCGCTTCAGTCCCTCTGGAAACTAGAGCCGAACTCTCTGGTTCCAAATTTCTGCTTGGTGCTGAGCCATGTAGTCATCTTCCTGTTAATCCTCCTGTTTGACTTCCGAAAACACCTCACAGATGGAGGCAGAGGTTTTCACCCAAGAATCCTTCCTTTCACCTCATCCAAGCTCTGGTTAAAACCTGCAAGAAACATATAGAGTGTGTTTGAGCCACATTATTTTAGAAGATTGTATTTTGAAATAGTAAATTGATGGAGAATGTGTGGTTGAAAAAGTAGGAAATGTTATTAATGTGATGGAAAATATTATTTATTGAAGAATGTGTAGTTGAAAATGAGTAGAAGAATGAGAATGAAAAAAATAATGTGGCTCAAACGGGGACATAGACTCGGTTGTTTTCTTCCTGCTTCATGAATCTTGCACAGTCATTAGGATTTTCCCTCACATCATCATAGCATTGATCTAGCTCCTGCCATAAGGTCACCATCTCATTGTAATAAATAGTAACCTCACGGTCCCCTCGTTTAGATTGCCAAGGTTTTGACTTCAGCTCAAAGATTTGGGATGAATTCTCCAAGTCCGAGTATGTTTCTCGAACTGAATCCCATACATCCTTTGCCTTTGGCAAAAACATGTTTGGTTTTGCAAAGGCTGTCTCCATAGAGTTGAGTAGCTAGGCCATGACCAACGAGTTCTCTGATCTCCATGTCCTAAACTGAGCATTATCTTCAGCGGGTTTCTTGATTTCTCTAGTCAAGTATCTGATAGGTTCCAAGATTTGATGCTGCTGGTTCTGAAGAATCTGGGAAGATTGTACAGCTGTTGTGATCTGATATTCTCCTGCCTGTGGAGTTGGTTGTTGCTGCTGTGAATGGAAGTGCTGCTACTGCTCTGGTGTGCCCTGCAAAGCCACTGATCAATGGATTGGATGAGTATTAGATGTATTTCTGGAATGTATAGGAAACTGAAGAAGTGAATTGGTGAAATGGATATATGTATTGAATTAAAGATCGTAAGAACAATTGTTATGAAATGAAGAATTGAATAACATAGAATTGAATGGGAATTCCAAGCATTCGAGAGGCTAGATCTCTCCTATTTGACTTAACCAACTACTCAATATTTCCGCCCTCAAATGAAACATTGCCCCCTATTTATAGGTAACAACCTATACAACTTATTGTATTAATCCCCGCACTACCCCTGCCCCTAACTAAATGTGCTTCTCAATTATTCTGGATCCTTCTAAGGTGTGTAGGCTTGATAGGAGTCTATCAGTATCCTAGCTATCCTCTACCATCAATGGCTAGTTGGACAGTCTGCGACCACTCTAAGTAATTTTTACTGTTCAACTTGTGAACACTAATTTGCAGAGAAGAGTTTGCAGATGAGTGATCAACACTGCCTATTATGGAGGAAGAATTCACTGTGGTGGTGTCACATGAAGTTGTGGTGGACCCGGTCATTTCCGTTCTCATCATGGCTGTCTTTACCATCGAAAGATAGGGATTTCGAGCCCTGGGTCCGATACCATGTGGAAGAAAAAAAAAATATTTCCTTTCTCAATAATAACATCAGAATTACATCAATAAATAAGATAACTTGGTATCCTTCTGATCATAACGAACTAGCTGAATAATAGGAATTAATCTAAATCTAATATTTGAATGGATCAGATTTTTATTTACAAACAGAAAGATAAAACAAATCCTAACAACTTTTCCTATTTTTCTGACAGAAGAGAACCTAAATTCCTCAAAGTACCTATCCAAATAATGGACTTTGCTACTGGAGTTCTTGATTTCCTTGTGAAAGTTATTCCATCACCGGAAGATGCAGCTGAGTTTGGGAAGATTGGAAGATATTATGCAGCCGAGAGTATGATGGTTTGGGATCAAGATACCTGTGGATATGATGCTGAGAGAACTCCGAGATATGGGAAGGAGACACTGGAAGAATTCTTTAATAGAGTACTCAAGGAAGGAATGGCCGGTCAGGAGTTAGGGGAGCAAACAATTTTCTAAATTTACTGTCGGTTGAAAGTTTGTTTAGAATTCCTAACTCACTCACCCATGTTTTTTATACTGAGAATACGTATAGGTACACAATTCCTCATTTTCTACTTGGTATAGAATATTGCAGAAGCATGATTTGTATGGAAATATGAGAATCTGTAGATATGTTTATGTTCTGAAATGCTGATTAACTCAATAATATTTTCTGCTGTTCTTTCTCCCTGTAGTATGAACTTTTTACATAGAGGTAGAAATTGTTTATCGGTGTAATCTTACCATTTGTGTCATTTTAATATAGCAGCACAAATAATGGCCATTGGGTTATCAATATTCTTGATCATGTCACTGTTATTCGTACATAATTTTATGTTTCTCGAGTGATATAGAGTTGAATTGAATCTATGGTTCAATTTCTTTTGATATAACTTTGAGTAGGTTGGACTTTAGGTGCAGGTCACAAGAAAAGTTTTATTTATCCAATCCCAAGAATATAAGAAATCAGGCCAATGTTTCTACTATTTCCAGACTTCGAACATCAAAAACAGAGGCAAATATTGAAATTAGTCTTTGATAAATGTATGTTTGCCTTTCTAGAACTTCCAGTCGTGTTTTTGCAAGCATGGTGTATGTATTACAGTTCCCTAGTTCCATCTTTTCAGCCCTTTATGGCAGCTTCCATGGTGTTTTCACCAAGGCGTTCTGATTTACCGGGAATTATTCTTAGCCAACTGTCATCTTCTTGCCTTAATGCGATTTTTTCTGGCTTTAAGTTAATTATATGTAAAGCTAGTGTGTGTGGAATGCTATTTCATTGTAACAGCTTCTACTTACGATCTTGAAAGAAAACCGACCTAAAGATCTCTAACAGTTTTCTTCTTCCTTTTCGCTGTAAATTTAAGACAGAGACTTGTATTTCCATCAGATTATTGCCAGTGGCACGAGGGACTTTGAATTAACGAGTATTGGTGCCTATTTTTTAGTATTCGTGATGTCGTTTTCATGTATATCTCCCATCCACCCACAAGTCTTGCATTGGTTTCGATTGAAGCTCAGTTCGATCAAGCAAATGATACATCAACATATTTACAAAATGAAAGCAGGATGGACCGAGGTTTTTTTACCAACTCCACAAATACACTTCTACATACGCACACATGATATGATAATGAAACCCCACTCGACATAGACGGTATGTTTGATACACAATATTGAATAACACTGCACATTACAGCTAAAAAACTTTTTTAACTTAATTTTTCTTCTTTGATTTTGTTTTGTACTGTCTAGTCTCTAGTTTAACTTACTAAACATACCATAATGGGCTTCGATTCATGTTGCTTTAACCCACTACTTGGGAATTTTCTTAGAGAGGGAGTACACGGAGAGCAGAATGAGCAACACAAGCACGATGGAGCCAAGCAAAGAGATGACAATTGAACCTCCGATGTGACTACAGAATTCGTCGTACACGTTACACACTTTTTTCCAGCCAACATGAGAATTGCCTTTCAAACCTATATAAGCAACTCCACCCGCTGCTCCAATTGCTGACGCCACAATTCCTAGCAATAGCTGCAAAATAAACATATACAATACACACACTCATCACAATTAGTACTGGATATTAAACATATTTTAGGTATTGAGAGAATTCTAGATTATAATTTTTTTTTTTTAATCCGACCCAAGTATAAGATCGGAAAGAAAAACTCAAAAGACAAAAGAGTTGAAGTTCAATTACAGTTTCCTAGTCGAACTTACCACGTCAAAAATGACGAAATGAGACAAGACTCTTGGACAACAACCGGGCTTGAGGAGGGCATAGAAGGAAAGGAGAGTGGTAATTATGCTGTACAAGCCTGCAACTGAGAGTGCTGCTACAAAGTATCTGCATCATTAAATTATAGCTTAGAAAATGATTTGGTAATTAAAACAAAGGATACTCTTCCAAACATTGTCGTAAGTACAAAATGATATTTTTTGTCCCCACGTGAAAGCATACAGAAGTCCTTAAAATATGTATGGACGCATGTTTGTCTCATAAACAAGAGATAAAATGAGATGAATCTGAGTCGAGACAAATATTATTGTTGTTGCGTAAAACATTTATGTCTAAATGGTGCAATAATTAGATAGCGCAATACGATGAGTATAGAATCATGCTACATGTACAACATCAGTTTACAATATTAGTTGACAACATCCTATTTGACATCATCATATCCATCTATTTTAAAAAACTGTTTTCTACATTACATACTAAGATTTTGACAACACATAATTGTCAACCATTGTTGCCAACCAATATTATACACTTAGATTTATTCATGAATATATATAATGACGATGTTATGATCCAGACAAAATTTGTATAAAATATTTCGGACCACTGAACTATTTTTTATCTTAAATATCTCGTGTCAAGTTGTCAACTTGCAATTTGATGTCCCACCTTTAGATATAAAAAATCGAAATTTCGAAAAATAAAGAAAAAAGGACATTAAGCTAACAAGAACAAATTAATTAAAGTTGCTTTAGAGATAGATTAATACATAAACCCATTTAACAATCTTTTCACCAATATCTTTATAGAAAAAAAGAGATTCTTCGCAACGCACACGCAACAAAAGGAAAATTATTCATTATGTAACATGTGATAATCTTAAGCAAGATTTTAAAAGCGTAAAGTGGGGCGAAACGTGGAGGTTGAGCTTAAGCTTGCCTAGGCGTTAAAAAGTATAAAAGAACGTTTTCTTATTTTAATATTATTTAAAAATTTTAAATCAATATAAAATTTATTTAATAATTAAAAGAAAAAAACATAAAAAATGGTTAAAAAGCTTAAAAAAGTGCACGCTAGGCACGCCTAGGGGTGAAAAAAATAAAAAAAAATGAAAAAGCGCAAAAAAAGAGAGCAGCAAGGCGTTTTGCTCGAAGCGTGAGACATTGCTTTTTAGAACTCTGATAATAAGCAAACAACTTCTAAATCATATATCTTCTTCAAGAAATGAAACTTAGTAGAAAGATATTATAATATTTTTCAGTTACAAATTTACACACTAGCAATGACACATGGATTCGCTCGCTTAAACTATCTTATTTAAAAGATTAAATTATTAGAGAGAGACAAATTTATTCATTTAAACGTCTGACATATTTTGACATCTCTTATATCCAAACGTGTGCAATTTTTATTATGCAAGTGACAAGACTTGAACCCAGAATCACGTATATCAAGTTAAACTAGCTCGATCGCCGGATTCGGCCGGAAAGACTAAAGAGTTGGACAATTTAACAAGTAATACACACACATAAATGATAAAACTTACACGAAGGCTGGTGAATGGTTGAACTTAGCAGGAACAGCAGCCAGATATGGAGGAAATGGTAAAATAGGAACTTTTTCTGTTTGCTTACTAGTGACCATAACCACAACAGCCACTAATGCTGAAGCAAACAGTAAAAACCTCAACACCACATCAGCCAAAGCAAAGTAATCAGCAGATGGAGAACCCGCCGGAGTTTTCACCTCCGGTGGATGCTCAACCTTTTTGTGTTCTGGGGCCGGGGCTTCACGTGGGAGCTCGACCTTTTCAGGCTCCGGACCTGGGGCTTCTGGTGGCTGCACCACCACCCTTTCAGGTCCTGGATATGATGTTTCTGTGGAGGCCATGGAAATTTGGTTGAATATAAGATGGAGAGGAAATTTTATCTGAATAGCGGCGATGGATTGATATATATAAACAGAGTATTTTGATGTGTTTGGGTAATTACTTAATTTGGTTGGAATTTCCAGCACGCCAAGTAATTTTATTTTATTTTATTCTATTCAATTATTGATTATAACACCTGGGATGTTGGATGAACGTCGAAAGTTCATGCAAAGAAACATCATTAACCTTAACCGGCTCGCAAAAAGCTTATATGACTTCCCCGGTCGAGTTCGTCACACTGGGCTTGCCAAGTGTGATTTACCTCTTTTGTGTAGTTTGAATGCTACTGCACATGGAGCCAAGTTTACCTATACGCACAGTGGTCGAGCCTCCAACACTTCGGGGTGGTGGGACTCCGCGACGGGTAGCGGCTGCGGGTTCCTAGATCCAAAAAAAAAAGCTTATATGTTTACAGATGGATCAAATTTATTTATTTATTTAAATTTAATTCTCATCACGTTTTGTCACGTGCATATGGAATTTATTTTATTATTAGCGGCTTGTCTCATGTACACTTTTCATAAGTGAGTAATAGCGAGACTTAAACTTTGATTTCGCCTAATTTTGACACTTCATCATTAAAATCTTAAAGACTAAGAGAATCACATTTATTTAAACTTGATATTCAATAACTAAAGTATACAAATATTAGCATAAATATGTTAAGTTAAAATTACTTGCAACTTTCTATCCCAAACATATTTTAGATTTTTGTCTAAAGGATCCCTTTTTTTTGGAAATTTTTAAGCTCAAAACTTGATAGTTTAAAATTGTTCTTTAGGCAATGAAATATTTGGTTGCATGTAAAAAGATGTGTAAACATATGAATATATATAGCAGTTTGATTGAATAATGCTATTTATTGTGAAGATTATCGATAATCGTCATATACGTGACATATAGCAGTTTATTATTTGTTACACGAGACAATAAAAAATTATATCATTAATGTATCAAATAACAAACTGTCATGTGTATATCATGTAAAGCGACTCGATAATTTTCACTATGAATGATATTACTCAATTTGATTTTACCATATAAACACAAATTATAAAATAGTAACATTAAAGTATTTATTCATTATTTTTATTTAGTTTTATTTAATCAAACGTATCAAACACGTTCGAATTATTATAATTGAAGCCCAGTTCAACTCTACAAATTTGTAAAGGGAAAATAAAGAAATATGAAAACTAAGAGAAAATCAAATAACCTTTTCTTTTCTAGCAATATAAAACTATTTCGAAATTTGTTCTAGCAAAACAAATATCATAAAATTAAAATAAATAGACTATGAATTGGCAAACAATATCTACATTAATATCCATATATACATACATGTAAAAGTATCGTATTTTTTTATTTTTTTTTATTTTCCATTAAAATTAAATAGAAAAAATTCTTATAAGAGAGGTTTATTGCATGTGAGTTAGGAAGCATCACCACCTAAATTAACAACCTTCCCGAAGTGTAGCTATTTTTTTATTTTTTAAAGAAGAAATTTGATCGTTGGTATGTGAAGTAATATTTTCTTTATTCGTTTCGTCTGACACAAAAGTGACATGTAACTGTATCATAATGAGTTTTGATCTCACACTACAAATTGTCTCTCTCCCCAAAACACAACATACACACATCCGGCCAAAAGTAGGGTATAATTGAAAATCAAAGATAACTATCAATAATCAAAGGATTATTCTAGTGGTACATCGCCACTTACACAAGAGTGTCCATAATGGACACCCCGATATAAGAGGTGATGTACCTCTAGCATCTTTCATAATCAAATACATATGACATTCAATGGTGGGCACTACTGATGTGAATGGAAAATGAATTCTTTGGACAAAAATGGCACCCAAACGGGGGGTTGGGGGGTGGGGTACATTCTTTTGGGCCCATTATTTGCTGTCTGAATTCAAGAATATCTGTCCAATGGACCAGCAAGATTGGCTTATATCTTCCAAACCAAATCAATTCCCTTAATTCAAGAAAGAGCTGTTTTCAATTATGGAATCTGGTTGATATTCTCGTGAGTTCACAATTTTATTGATGAAAACGACCTTTCTTTAATGTCATTAATCTTTGTATTTGTTAGGTTATTTTGCTTAACTATCGTCAAATAAAAAATTTAGATGGTTAGCTTTGACATTTTATATAAGCATTTTTTTGACCCAACTTAGGTGAAAATCATTCTTTATCAAACTCGTTTTCAATCACAAATTCTTCTAATTAAAATAAATTAAACGTAGATTCATAATTTTTTCTAACTCCAAAAAAATTATTTTTCACGTCAAATAATCTCTCCAAACAAATACTTATCTTCAAAACTTTTGATTTACGTTGAATTTAATTTTGAATGGAATCAAATAAGTTTTTGCTGATCCATATATGAATCACTCAGTTACTCGACACCCGCTTGACCTTCACCTCCACCTATTTGATAAGTTGATGTTCTCAAGTGGCAAGAGAAACGTATTTCTTGTAATGTTTCGTTTTCTTCTAAATGAGGTTAGAAATAGATATCTCTCGATGGCAATCTTCTTTTTCTATCACTTTACTTCTTTTAAGAATACCCATGAGTAGCTCGAGAACATCAACATAAGAGGGTCGATATTCTCATTATCGGCTTTCGTTTTTTGTTTCTTTGAACCAATTATCAGCAAAATCATTGCAAAGATTGACGCGAAAACTATGAAATTCAACATACAACTAAGAAAGCGTAAACCTAATTAAACACGTAATAACGAAAGACTTCTTATCCAATAAATTTTCTAGGTTTTCAAGTCTACTAGTTGATGGAAAATCTATACTAAAAAAATGTAAATTACCCTTTTACCCCACGGTTTTCATGGATTTCGTATCCTTCTCTGTCTTTTCAAAGCAAGTGGGACATTGTATGGAAAATGGAAGTTAGCCATCAGCAATCGCGATTGGTACACCATCCATCTAGCGGTTTTGGCATTATCTATTTTAAAATGGTCTGGACATGCCTTTTCATGGATTTGCAAGATAATTTATGGGTGCATAATTTTTATAAATAAATAATAATAAGATTCAAATAAATATTTTTACTAGTTTTGATACCATGTTAAAACGCAATTCAATTAAAAATTATAAGAGATACGTAGACTTCTGCATATATCTAAAAGTTTGGATCATATCTAATCGAGTAAGACTATTTCCAGAACCAATTGTTTATTATTGATTTGGTAAGTTATTGGTTCATGTTAGAACTCGTAAGGTTAAAGATGCAATTCAAATCAAACCAACTCACTTAGTAATCAATCGAAACAATAATGCAAAACCACGATGGCCCGAGTTCGTCCAATCTTTGGTACTTCTCATTGAAGCAATACTTAACGTGGATTATGGCATTAGTTCACTAAAAAAATGAATCAACGGGTTACAACACGATCAAGAACCTTACAACTCAAGAGACCTATGCTTAACAATACACAAAGCACGAATATTTCTAATCAATTGCCTAAAAATTTACAGTACAAGTTCCAGCATACAATTTCTCAAACTTGAATGAAAAAACTAAGTAATCTCACAAAGAAATGTTAATGAAACTATTGGAGACGAAAAAAGGAAAATGGTCGACTTGAGAGAGAGAGATTAGGGTAGTGTAACCCTAACAAACATGAGAAGGGGCGCCAATTTATAGTGTGTATGTGTGTTAGGATGTGTTTTTTTAGTGGTAAAAGTATTTGTAGAATAAAAAGTATTAATGGTAAATTATAAATATTGAAAGTAAGAGTGTCGTTTGGAGTAACTTTCCCTTTAAAGCCCAATACGGCACGCAATATCATGCTTTGAGCATTGGGAAAAATTCATGGATCGTGTATTATCTATAATGAAATTAAAAATCAGGCCCTAAGTTTTAGAATTACAAAAATCAGGTTTTTTCATGAATTAATTGATTATATTTTACAATTATTATATTAAATTAAATATTTAACTATAATATAATATAATTAACTCACCCCACCCCACCTCCACCACCCATACTGCTCTGGCGACTACTCCGGTTGTCGGTGACTACTCTGACGACTGTTCCCTGACCGCACTTAATTCCGGCAACTATTCCGGTGACCGTTCCCTGCCTCTTAATTCCGGTAATAGCTCCGATTCCGAGGTCACAGATATCTTATTAAGTAGTTAAAAATTTAATTTTCATTCACAACTTATCAAATTAATTGGTCACAGATTATTTCAAGGTCGAAAATCAAAAAATTTATAGGTCACAATTGACTTTATTGGTCACTGATCAAAAAAATTATAGGTCACTGATTTTTAATTGGTCACAAGTTAAAAAAATTGTAGATAACAGAGATCACATATTTCCAAATTTGTTGGTCACATATTATATT